TACTTTATAAAGCAAAGGGACTGAAGCAAGAATTATAATGTAAGAGTAAACTAGTTACATAACTCGTTCATATTGTAAGTTTATGCAACTAAATTTGCTTCAACAAGTTTCATGGTTTGAGGAACTTCCTGTTGTAATCGGTGATATATTAGTAGAGGATGGTAACTCTATTTAATGTTGGTGCCGGACGCTGCTTTTCCTTTTGAAATCCCGGCAAGGTTTTTATTGAGGGCCACTGTTGCGCACGTGTATTCGATTTTCGCACTTTCTATCAAAAACATTTTGTTTTCGGAAATTTCCTGATTTCTTTTAAGACAAATTTCCTGGTTTTAGGAAAACCTTGAGTTTTAACCTTAAAATTGTCGAGTCATTTAGAGAGAGAAGCCAATAAAACTTACTAGAAGCAGAGTGGAGGCAAAGAAGCTCGATAACTTGAGATCCAAATATGAAGGTGGTCAGCTGGTAACTGCACCATTTCATTCACCACTGTGATTTCTGAACGGAAATTATACGGAAGAAGAGCAACAACAATATCAAAAGAAGAAAACCCAGAAAAATGAAAGGGACAGCGTCCTTAATCTTACTTGTCATCGATGAAGAAAGATTCGTCCAAGCAAACTATGTCATCTTCTCCTCCTCCTCCTCCTCCACCTCCTTCCATCTTAAATATCCGCTGTAGGAACGTGAAACTCGTTTCTTGCTTCTTCCACGACGAGTCTAATGTCTGTGTAGGCGCCGGCTTCTGCTTCTCTATGAGTTTTGTGCTATTGTACTGTCGCTAGCGACGACACAATTGAGTATTTCACTCGTTCAACAGGCCGGAATTACTGGTCAATTTGGATTTCGAGGGTTTTAATATATATTTTTTTTTTAGTAATAAATTTAAAAAGATTTTGGGAAGTATTATTGACATTCTAAAAATTTTATTCTACATTCCTTATAAATGTATTTTTCTTTTCTAATATAAAAAATTTGGAGTGTAGAATAAAATTTTTGGAGTACAAATAACAATTCCTAAGACTTTAATAGACTTTATAATTTTATATGGATTTTAGAAGATTTATATGGATTTCAATTATGATTTTTGTAGATTTGCATGGATTTCTTCTCTGCATTTCTTAGGATTTTGAAAAAAAATGAAAATCACACGCAGGGCCATCGATAACACACCACGACCAAGATCAGGGCATGCTGGCCGCCACGTAGAAGTGACGTACCCATGTGCACAATGCGGAAGCTAAGAAATAATAATAAAAGTACGAATAAATAAAAATCAAGCTAAACACTGCGTAAATAACATACATGTGCAAGCGTTAGTGTGAAAAGCAATGTTCAGAGCACGGAAGACCGAGTGCAGTCTGGGAGAAACAATACTAAATAAACACACCCAAATGTGGTCCTACACTGGTGATAATCTGTCAGATAAACCGAGAAATCCTCTGGGGAGCCACCAAAAATGCTAGCCAAATTAGAACCTGGAGGGGCGCAAAACAGAAAGCGTGAGTGGGCAAAAACAAAGCTTTTCAAAAATCATTTCATAAACAAAGTTCTAACCCCTCGCCGTAAAACCTGTATACTTCCCAGAAAATAGAATATATACGTATATATAAATCATGCTCAGAAATATGCCATGTCAAATGCCTCGAAATAAAATGCAAGTACTTAGGTAATGCCAATCAATACCATGTAATCTGTCAACCGGAGTCACCTAACGTGACTTGTACGGCTGAATCTAGAGCTCAAATCTCCAACTCACTAACTACACCTGCACACGAGTCGGAACCACCTAAAGTGGTCTGTACGACATGACTGGGTGTAAATAAGTACGCTCAAGTGCTACGATCACGTGAAGATTGGGCGAATAATCGCGAATCACCTACGAGTTGGAACCACCTAAAGTGGTCTGTACGGTAGGACTATGCACTTAACTTGGATCCAAGATGAACGTGTGGTGCGAGAGGTGAACATCACGTGAAGGACTGTGCCCAACTTTGGGCGGGAGCATTAACATCGGGGGTACAGGTTATGAACTCTCTATGCATCTCATATCACTACTAAACATAACATAAACCATAACTTACCTGGCACTTACATGTGTGTCCGCAACACCAAACATATATATATATGCAACTAATAATGCATAATTAAACGGGCAAACATAATGCATGGCATATAAAACATATAGACGCTTCATTTCACTTTCTGGGAAAAACACAAGTATATAGGTATATACGGAAAACCAAAAGCCCACTCACCGGTATGTAGAAGGGTCGTAACCCCCTTGCCTCGAGTGACTACACTCGTCCTCGGGATAGGTCTCACCTACATGCGAAACAACTATAAAAACGTTAATTTTAAAGCACATAACCAACATTACGAAATAACTTCTCATACAATGCTCAAATAGGGTGTATGAATACACCAACGTGATCTACTCAACCTCACAAACATCCTTATATTTTTAAAATAATTTTCTGACACCGCACGCTCCCCCACGCACCGGCCAAGGCACGGCCACACGCATCGCCCACGTGCAGGCACGTGCCTGGCACACTAACGGCGTCAGTTGACGCCGTCAGGAATATTCCGTTAAGTCTAACAGATTCCGTTAATGCCGTTAGGAATATTCTGTCCAAATTGATGGAATATTACGTCATCTTCTCCAGCCAAACTCCGGCGCTGTCGCCGTGGCTGGAAAACCGGGAAAACTTCCAAACTTCGTATCTCACTCGTTTTTCACCCAAATTTCACGAAATTGGTACCAAAATGAAGCTTACAACTAGAGGAACAAATCCTTACCATCTTTCAAGCACTAAAACCAACAGAATCTCGCCGGGAAAACTCCACCAAATCCGGCCAAACATGTAACTCACGATCCCGACGTCCAAAACCTTCAAACGAACCACCCCGAGCCTCCTAAGGACCTCACCAAGCTTCCTACAAGCTTGAAATTCCCAAAGTCACAAGAATTGACGTGTGCATGAACAATACCCCGATTTACACCTCTCGGGTTCGACGTGAAAATGAAGGTTCCCTTACTTGAAATGGGTATGGTTGAACTCCTAAGGACCTCACGAGCACAAATATGTAGTTTGTGTCCTCGATCTACCACGTTTTCGAGTGATTGAGTCCTTGTCCGTACATATGGTGAAGAAAAGAAAGAAAGAGAGAGAGACAGACAGATACGGGATAGGGCAGAGAGAAAAGAATGAGTGTGGGTGTGTTCGTGGTCCAAAATCAACCTACCAAATTCCAAAAACGACCACACAACGAAACAAACATACTAGGGGCAAAACCGTCATTTCACCCCTACTGTACGAAAAGTCCAAGATCAGCTGTCACAACCTACCCACCTTAAAAAAATTTTGTCCCGAAATTCATAACAACCATTCACAACAACCACTAGCGATCAAAGAACAACCGAGGATACAAATCTCTCATCCGATCTTCAGTTTCCCAAGTTGTGACATCCCACATCGCCCAGGGGTGTGATCCTTATATGTATATCCCATCCCTACTTAGCACAAGGCCTTTTGGGAGCTCACTGGCTTCGGGTTCTATTAGAACTTCGAAGTTAAACAAGTAACGCGCGAGAGCACTCCCAGGATGGGTGACCCATTGGGAAGTTCTCGTGTGAGTTCCAAAAAACAAAACCGTGAGGGCGTGGTCGGGGCCCAAAGCGGACAATATCATGCTACGGTGGTGGAGTGGGCTCGGGAAGTGGTCCCCCCCAGGTCGGGATGTGACAATTTGGTATCAGAGCCTAACTCTGGTCGCGTGTGTGCCGACGAGGACGTCGGGCCCCTAAGGGGGTGGATTGTGACATCCCACATCGCCCAGGGGTGTGATCCTTATATGTATATCCTATCCCTACTTAGCACGAGGCCTTTTGGGAGCTCATTGGCTTCGGGTTCCATTGGAACTCTGAAGTTAAGAGAGTAGCGCGCGAGAGCACTCCTAGGATGGGTGACTCATTGGGAAGTTCTCGTGTGAGTTCCCAAAAACAAAACCGTGAGGGCGTGGTCGGGGCCCAAAGCGGACAATATCGTGCTACGGTGGTAGAGTGGGCTCGGGAAGTGGTCCCCCCCGGGCAGGGATGTGATACAAGTAGCCTCCTCTGCAGTATGATTCCTCCATAAAACTTTCACCAAATTCACAGTCTTTTTCCTCAGAACCTTTTCTTTCCAATCCAGAATCGTCATTGGTTCCTCATCATAGGTCAAATCCGGATTAATTTCCAAGGGTTGATGAGGTATCACATGCGACGGATCCGCAACATAATGTCGAAGCATAAACACGTGAAAACCGTTATGTACTTTAGCTAGCTCAGAAGGTAACTCCAGCCTGTAAGCTACTTCACCAACTCGTTCAGTGATCATGTACGGTCCGATATACCTGGGACTCAACTTACCTTTCTTTCCAAACTGTACAACGCCTCTCCATGGTGAAAGCTTCAGAAACACCCAATCGTCAACCTCATACACACTGTCCGTAGCACGCCGGTCCGCTAAACTCTTTTGTCAATCCTGGGCCGCCTTCAGGTTAAACTTGATTACCTGAACACTTTGAGTAGTCTCCTCAACAATCTCTGGGCCCACCAAAACTCTTTCTCCGACCTCTGACCAACACAAGGGTGTGCGACAAGATCTACCATACAACGCCTCAAATGGTGCCATGCCGATACTCGAATGAAAGCTGTTGTTGTAGGCAAATTCCATTAAATCCAACCACTTGTGCCAAGCATCGCCAAACTGCAACACCGAAGATCTCAACATATCCTCCAACATCTGAATAGTTCTCTTTGACTGTCCGTCTGTTTGAGGATGATATGTTGTACTATAGAGTAACCTCGTACCCAAAGCTTCCTGAAAAACCACCCAAAATTCAGAAGTAAATCTTGGGTCACGATCCGAAACAATACTCACAGGAACACCATGGTACTTCACAATCTTCGAGATGAACAACTCCGCTAATCAGCCCAAAAAATACTTCTCCCTCACTAGAATGAAATGTGCTGACTTAGTAAGCCGATCAACAATCACCCAAATGCCGTCAAAACCATTATGCGTACGTGGAAGCTTGTACACAAAATCCATAATAATGTTTTCCCATTTCCACTCTGGAACGGGAAGCAGCTGCAATAACCCAAACGGCTTCTTCCATTCAGCTTTAACTTGTTGGCAAACAGCATACCTACTCACATACTCAGCTATCTCTCTCTTTATACCCGGCCAATAATAAAATGGACGAATGGTATGATACATTTTAGTAGTTCCTGGATGCATCGCATAAGCCGAGATATGTGCTTCATCGAGAATTGCTTTCTTTAAATCCAAATTATTAGGCACAAACATCCTACCCTCCTGCATCAGCATGCCATCCGATTCACGAACTCTGAGATCTCTCTTCTTCCCCTGATTTCTTGCTTGGATTATTTCTTGAGTTTCCTCATCAGCTACCTGAGCTTCAAGCACCCGATCAATTAAAATTAGCCTAACTTGAAAATTAGCAAGTAAAGCCACCTCTTGGTCTTCTGCCTCCAACCTCACTCTCGTGGATCTTAAGTCAGCTAGAAGAGGAACGCGACTAGCGTACAACGCATTGATACGGCCCTGAGACTTCCTGCTAAGTGCATCAGCAACCACATTTGCACGACCAGAGTGATAATCAATCGTGCAGTCATAATCACTAAGCAGTTCCAACCACCTCCGCTGATGAAGATTAAGATCCCTCTGCGTAAAAACATACTAAAGACTCTTATGATCTGTAAAAATCTTGCATTTCTCTCCATAAAGGTAATGTCTCCATAACTTCAGCGCAAAAATAATGGTTGC